GCATCATATGACCCCTTTAAATACTTCATTCATTCATGCACGCTGCAAGAATGCTTTTCTTACTAAGTATGTTTTCTAAGTAAGTAAGTTTCTACTAAGTAAGTTTTAACTCAGAGTTGGTTGAACCTCCTTATTGAAACGGGCCCCATAAAGGAGGTTCAACAAACTCTGAGTTAAAACTTGAACTCTTTGAGTTGACTTACTCTGAGATGGGAAACTCTTGAGTTTTCGGTTTCAGAACAGCTGAACAGAGTTAGTTCAATCCACTCTGAGTAGGTTGACTCTGAGTTTAGCGCGTGCACCACAACTATGAAAAGCCATGATCAATGGAGCTCCGAAAATATGATTCACCATGGCAACAGCTCCCGCCAAAAAGACTTTTGCATACTACAGAATACGTAACTTTAATTCTAAATCAATGTTATCAGAGGTGAAAACTGGCAGAAAGGTAATTTATTGAACTAATATCCATTTTCATGGTATCCCACAGGTGAAAAAAAAAATGTGGCAGCAGAAAAAAAAATAAACAAAAACATAATTCAATCAGATAAAACTTCAAGCGTAAAATAGGTGTAGGCTAACGTTACATGACTTTACAAATATTTGACATTCAATAAATATCATTCAGTGTATATCCATTTCAATGTGCAGCAGCTTTTCCCACATAGTCTAATGCTTTTTCACATAATTAAATGTTCTCTAATCCAGCATGCTACATTTCTTAATTAGGGTAATGAATTCACATTTGACTTCTATTCAGAAGCCAACAGCAAGAAGGCAGAGACTCGTAAAATGGGAGGAGAACCTGCACCAGCACCACTGACAGATGAAGAGGAGATGGCCACAATAGCAATATTAAAATCCAACAAGGAAAATAATAATTGTTGCTTTTGTATTTGTAGAACATAAAGATGACCAAATTAATTGTGAATAATTTGTATTTATTTAATAGCTGTGGTGGTGGTTACGGCATATATCTTGCACTACCCTTCCATCTGGCATCCTTCCATTCAATACAATAATCAGCTTCATTTTCGATCCAACCACCCTAAAGGAAATTCTAATTATTAGGTTACTTAGAGGTCGCAACAAGATGTTATCAAGTGAATCAAGTGAACAAATGGTACCGTTCAAATAAATATGCATGTG